AGAATAGAAATCCTAACACTAGAAAGCAATAAAATCCTAAACCTACCAAATAACTAATGCTTGGCTTGCACACCAAGCAATTCTAGAATGCTCCCTAATCTTCCACATGTTAAAAACTCTCGGCCGCCTTCCATTCCTCGCGCCCTTGTACGCGTCGCGCGCGCCGACCCTCGGCTTTTCTAATCCTCGGCGCGCGAGGTATCGCGCGCCTCATGTGCCCCGCACGCGCACGCCGCCTCCTCAGCACTCTCGCCTAGTGCTTCGAGAACAAGGACTCGCGCGCGCCCCTCACACGCGCACGCTGTTGCGCGCGCTTCGCTTATGCCGACCTTCTCGCGCGCGTACTCGCCCTCGCCCAGCATTCCTATGCCCACGCGGATTGGGTTGTCCGCGTTTTTCCTGCACTTGCGCGCTATCGCGCGCCCATCGCCGCTGCTGCCCACATTCCGCGCGTCCTCGCCACTTCCGCGAGTGCCGCGCACGTCTCTCACCCCCGTGCCGCTCGCGCTGTCGTCCCGTGCCTTGCGCGTCGCCTCTAGCGCCCCAGCGTCCCGATCCTCTACCGCGCGCCCCCGTGCACCCGCTGCACTGCGCGTCCCAGCCGTCTCCGCAGCCTGATCGCACCAGCGTACACCCGCTGCCGTCCGCGTGCTGCCATTCCCCGTCGTCGATCCTTCCGATGCACACCATCGTACGTTGCCACTCACCCGTGCATCAATTCGACCCCTCGGCCCATTATGCGCATCAAAGTACGATGTGCGTTCTTTGCTCGTGCTTGCACCCTTGTCGCCAACCGACTCCAAGTGTTCGCCCGATTCCTTAAGCTCTCCCGTCGGCCATGGGTCCCATCCATCCAACCCAATGCAATCACCAGCTCTCCAAATCCAACCATCCTCCATTCTACTCTTACCTCTTCTTCGAACCACCATCTTGCGAACTCGCCTTTTCCTCGCACAAGGCTTGCACCAACACTTGTCTTCTTTAGCCTTTGCCTTGCCTTTCCTTCGAGTTCTCTTGGTCTTGCATCTCCTAGGCTTGAGTTTAGCTCGTGGACCACATCCTTTTGGCCAATCTCGTACACATGATGGCCGGTAAATAGGACTAGATGGCTCCTCCAACATATTTTCTAGCCAAATATCTAGATTATCGCCATCATCATCGTCGGACTCATCAGGGTTAATAACCACTTCCGTATCATTCCCCTCCTCTTCGAGACTTTCCTTGTCCTCAAGGATCAGAAAATTCAGCGCACCATCATCTTCGTGGTCATGAGCATCGATCACCATTGCTTGTCGGGCTTCCATGTGTTGACGTTCGTACTCCTCAATATTCCTTCGCTCATGAAGCTCATCAAGATATGTTGCTTCCCATGGTGTAAGCTCTCTTTACAAACCTTCCAACATCTCAAGATCTTCCCAATCCAACTCATCCAATGGTGGGTAAGACATTTTTTTTTTTTACTCTAAAAAAATTCGAAAATAATAGGAAAAAATTCAAAAAATCAACCCCCAACAAGACTCAAAAAATCGAAATAAAAAGAAATTCGGCCCCTCAACAAAAGGTAATAACGGAACAAAAATCAAACAAAGGACTAACAAGATGACTTTTTTTTTTAAGACTCAAATTCGAAAAATAAAAGGAAAAATTCGAACCAAAAAATTCGAACCCCAACAAAAAATAAAGAGAAATTCGGCCCCTCAGCAAAAGGTAAACCGAAAAAAAAAAAGAAAAAAGATAGATAGATAAAGAACACGATCACCACCTCTCAATGAAAGCACCAATGATGACGGATCGTGTTGTTATCTATACTCGGGTTGTGAATAAACGAGCACTAGGGCCTTCGTTTATTCACGATAGGTGTATCTAACAGATGCACTACGGCCTTCTCCTAGATACCGTGACTTCAAGACGCTCTAATGGCCTTCTCTCCGACACTGTATGTAAACACGCACTGACGGCCTTGTTTATCACACGTTAGAACATAAAGTTCCCCTCAAAATTGGCTCACCAATTCAATACTCAATTCAAGACATCTAAAATATGATGAGGTACATGGGGTATTTATAGTTGCAAAATAAATCTAAGCCTAACTATACTAGATCTCCTAAATCTTACAAGAATAGAAAACCTAACACTAGAAAGCAATAAAATCCTAAACCTACCAAATAACTAATGCTTGGCTTGCACACCAAGCAATTCTAGAATGCTCCCTAATCTTCCACATGTTCAAAACTCTCGGCTGCCTTCCATTCCTCGCGCCCTTGTACGCGTCGCGCGCGCCGACCCTCGGCTTTCTTAATCCTCGGCGCGCGAGGTATTGCGCGCCTCATGTGCCCCGCACGTGCACACCGCCTCCACAGCACTCTCGCCTAGTCCTTCGGGAACTAGGACTCGCGCGCGCCCCTCACACGCGCACGCTGTTGCGCGCGCTTCGCTTATGCCGACTTTCTCTCGCGCGTACTCGCCCTCACCCAGCATTCCTACGCCCACGCGGATTGGGCCATCCGCGTTTTTCCCGCACTTGCGCGCTATCGAGCGCCCATCGCCGCTGCTGCCCACATTCCGCGCGTCCTCGCCACTTCCGCGAGTGCCGCGCACGTCTCTCACCCCCGTGCCGCTCGCGCTGTCGTCCCGTGCCTTGCGCGTCGCCTCCAGCGCCCCAGCGTCCCGATCCTCTACCGCGCGTCCCCGTGCACCCGCTGCACTGCGCGTCCCAACCGTCTCCGCGGCCTGATCGCACCCGCGTACGCCCGCTGTCGTCCGCGTGCTGCCATTTCCCGTCGTCGATCCTTCCGATGCACACCATCGTACGTTGCCACTCACCCGTGCATCAATTCGACCCCTCGGCCCATTACGCGCATCAAAGTACGATGCGCGTTCTTTGCTCGTGCTTGCACCCTTGTCGCCAACCGACTCCAAGTGTTCCCCCGATTCCTTAAGCTCTCCCGTCGGCCATGGGTCCCATCCATCCAACCCAATGCAATCACCAGCTCTCCAAATCCAACCATCCTCCATTCTACTCTTACCTCCCCTTCGAACCACGATCTTGCGAACTCGCCTTTTCCTCGCACAAGGCTTGCACCAACACTTCTCTTCTTTAGCCTTTGCCTTGCCTTCCCTTCGAGTTCTCTTGGTCTTGCGTCTCCTAGGCTTAAGTTTAGCTCGTGGACCACATCCTTTTGGCCAATCTCGTACACATGATGGCCGGTAAATAGGACTAGATGGCTCCTCCAACATATTTTCTAGCCAAATATCTAGATTATCGCCATCATCATCATCGGACTCACCGGAGTTAATAACCACTTCCGTATCACAGGGCAGTGGCGTGCGCGCGCGCACAGGGCAGCAGCGTGCGCGCGCGGGGCAGGGATTCATTACAAAAGGGCATGAGCATTTAGTTTGTAAGCTTAATCGGTCCATTTATGGACTGAAGCAAGCTTCAAGATCTTGGAATATTCGGTTTGATGAGGTAATCCAGTCATATGGATTCACCCAATGTCCGGATGAGCACTGTGTATACAAGAAGATTAGTGGAAGCGTGGTGGTGTTTCTTGTGCTATACGTGGATGACTTACTTCTTATTGGCAACAACAAGAATGAGTTGTCGGATGTAAAGGTGTGGTTGTCTAAGAAGTTTGATATGAAGGACTTGGGTGAAGCAGGACGCATTCTTGGTATCAAGATCATTCGTGATCGTGAGAAAAGAATGATGTGCTTATCCCAGTCTTCATATATAGATACTGTCTTGGCTAGATTCAGTATGCAGAACTCTAAGAGAGGTACATTACCCTTCAGACATGGAGTACCTTTATCTAAGGAGTTGTCTCCTAAGACGACTGAGGAGATAGAGGACATGAAGACAGTTCCTTATGCTTCGGCAGTAGGAAGTCTAATGTATGCAATGTTGTGCACTAGGCCTGATATTAGCTACGCCGTTGGCATGGTAGCGAGATATCAAAGTAATCCAGGAAGGGAACATTGGGCTGCGGTGAAACATATACTCAAGTACCTGCGAAGGACTAAGGAGTACATGTTAGTTTACCGTGCGGACAGTTTGTTTCCACTGGGTTACAGTGATTCTGATTTTCAGTCAGATAGGGACGAAAGTAAGTCAACCTCAGGTTATGTGTTTACCTTGGGAGGTGGAGCCATTTCATGGAGGAGTGCTAAGCAGAAGTGCGTAGCAGACTCCACTATGGAAGCCGAGTACATCGCGGCCTCTGAGGCAGCGAAAGAGGCAGTTTGGCTCAGAAACTTCTTGGTGGACTTAGAGGTGATTCCGAGTTTGCCACGTGTTATTACCGTATACTGTGATAACAGTGGTGCAGTAGCAAACTCAAGGGAACTACGAGCCCACAGAGCAAGCAAACAAATAGAGCACAAATACCACCTTATCAAAGATATTGTGGCAAGAGGAGAAGTTGAGATCACCAAGATTGCATCAGAAGACAACCTAGCTGATCCTTTTACGAAGAGTTTGCCGGAGAAGGTCACGTAGAGGGAATGGGAGTCAAATGTATGGTGATAGGATCGACATAGGTCTTTTAGGATACGGATTGATAGGACTATACTAGTAAAGCGGCAACTTTAAGTATAAGTGGGTGATTGTTGGTGTTATATACTTAAGCTTTGCTTTAGTGGATATTACACTTGTTATTTATTGATGGATGAGAATTATGTTTGGTTAAATAAGTTCCACGTTCTGTTGTTTTGCATGTAGATAAGTGGGTCGTCATCGAGCGTACCGAAGATCACTATATCAGTTACTTGCAAAACAAGAATCATTGGTTCACAACCTAGATGGAATTGAACAACCCATCGGAACGGTTGTAGTGTCAACCGTACGGTTTGTCTTACCGATTAGTTGCACTAGTACATTTATGTATTGAACAGGATCCCAGAGAGGGATGTTCGTTTTATACTGATCGTCGTAAACGAACTAGGCCTCAGTTAATTATTGCGTGCTCTTAACCCGTAAGATATTAAATAGGCATGTGCACATAATTGTTGTTGCTTTGATTCTTTGGGTGAGATCCAAGCCGGGTCGACGTACTTAATGAATTGGGTAATGACATTATGTGTTCGATGTGCTATTAGGATATTTACGGTCACCATGTGCGTTAGTCTGATGATGTCCCCGAAGTGAGTTCATGAAGGAATATTATGCTAAACCCTGCAGGTGGATTTATTCCGGCATAATATGAATGTTATGAGCGAGCGCTAGCTTCGGTAATATAATATATTAATAAATTCTTGATTATTAGTGATCGAATTAATTAATAGACATTATATCTTAAATATGGGGAGGTAAATCGGATAATTATAATAAGGAGTCTCAAATGTAATTTGGGATAGGTAAAGGGAGTGCAATAATATTATTGTGGTGGACTTTAATATTATTAATATATTAATTGTGGGGTTGCTCCATAGTATTAATATATTAGAAGCCCTTATCCTATTTTCCTTAGGGTCCCTACTGTAGCTCTATATATACAGCATTAGGCTCTTGGAAGAGACATACAATCCCATAACCTTGGGAAATTCGTCCGCCCCTCTCTCTCTCTCTTCCAACGAGTTGTTTTATTTCTTGTGCTCCACTGATACAAGATCTAGATAGCTGTTTGAGAATACAGTAGAAGATCTTAAGGTATATACGGGATTCCAATCAATCTATCATCCACCCAAACCGGAGACCAAAACCAGCAAGTGACCATACCACGACGACCAGGACGACGAGTCGAAGAGATCGCTGTCGAGATCGCCGCCAGCCGCCGCCGCACGCGCCCACACGCGCCACCGGAGGACTGTAGCTGTTGGGACTCACACGCGCGCGTGAGAGCGCGTGAATGCTCCATTTTCCGACCGGTCAACGCCGTTGACTTCGCCGTGACGCCAGCTTTCTGGATTGGTCAAGTTTGTTCGATTCCGAGAAGATTTGATTTGCGGTCATCTGTTCGGGCCAGCCAGATCTACATAAATTTTAAGCCGTAAGTTTTCTACATCAAACCTTTAGATCCGTTGCGCATAGGTTTATGTTGAATGTTTATCCGTGATTTTTGCATATCGAGATCCTCATAGGTCCCAACACTGGGAGGAAGTTCAAAAGGCGCAAGAGGAGGATACTTATTGCCAGGAGTTGCGCCGAAAAATCGAGGCAGGAGAAACCACTGCTGATTATGAGCTGCACAACGGCCTACTACTACATCGAGGCTGAGTATTCGTTCTCGACAGTGGGCAGCTACGCGAGAAGATCATGCAGCACTTTCACGATTCTAAAATTGGAGGTCCCTCGGGTATCTACCGCACATGGATGAGGATAGCCAATACCTTCTTTTGGCCAGGACAGCAGAGCACGGTTCGAGATTACATCGCACGATGCGATGACTGTCAGCGCACTAAGGCTGATTCACGACGACCAAGTGGGCTGCTACAACCCCTATCGGTACCCGAGGAAATTTCGGAAGACATCACTATGTATTTCATTGAAGGGTTGCCGAGTTCTAATGGGTTTAACGGAGTAATGGTCGTAGTAGATCGACTTACCAAGTATGCTCACTTCATACCCATCACCCATCCTTATACGGCGAAATCAATCGCCAGGTTGTTCGTTGAATATGTGATGAAGTTACACGGAGCTCCACGATCCATAGTTTCCTACCGAGATAGGATCTTTATGAGCAGATTTTGGTCCGAATTCTTCAAGTTGCAGAGGACCAAGCTATCCATGAGCTCAGCATATCATCCCCAAATCAATGGGCAAACTGAGGTAACTAACCAAACCCTTGAGCAATACCTACGATGCTATGTCCATCAATTTCCAAAGAGGTGGGAAAATTTTCTGCCCTGGGCTGAGTACTGGTACAATACTACTTACCATGAGTCGACCAAGATGACTCTATTCGAGCTAGTATATGGGCGTAAACCGCCAACGCTGATCAATTACTCAGAGAGAGGCACGATCAACGATGAAGTCGGTCGAGAACTTGAGGAGCGAGATTTGATGTTGCGAGAGTTGAAGAAAAATCTCGAAGGCTCGATTATTCGAACCAAAGCCTTCGTAGATGGAAAGCGACGAGAGAAAAATTACGCGCCAGATGAGTATGTCTACATGAAGCTACAACCGTTCAGGCAGCGCACGACAGCACAGAGGGCAGCGACTAAGCTAGGAGTGCGATACTATGGGCCTTATCAGATTCTGAAGCGCACTGGTCAGGTAGCTTATCGTCTAGAGCTACCCGAGAGTTTGCAGATTCATCCGGTCATACATGTCTCGCAGCTAAAGAGAAGTCTAGAAGAGGCGCACAAGTGGTGTGAGGAGTTACCGACGACTGCGACTGATGGAAGGGTCATAGTGCGACCAAAATATGAAGTAGAGTACCGCATAGTCAGAAAAGTTGGACGCTACCGCTGGGAAGTACTAGTTGAATGGGAAGAGTAGCCACAGGAGGAAGCCACATGGGAAGATCTAGATGAGATACGTGATCAATTTCTGAATTTTATCCTTGAGGACAAGGAAGCGCTTGAAGGGGACGGGAATGATACAGAAGTGACTAGGCAGCTCAAGAATGCTGCAAGTCGCGCCTATTAGGCATGCAAGAGAATGGCACGGGACACAGGCGAGACGCACGTCCTGGAGCAAGAGACGCACACGGAGCGCGAGAGCAGCCAATCAACGGGCAAGGACGGCTGCGGACACCTAACGTGCAGGGAAGACGAGCAGGCGCACACTAGCGCGGATGCGCGACACGCTCAAGCATTGGGCGCGACAGGTGCGGGCACGAGCGGACGGCCCGCGCGCGATGTGCGCAGCGGAGCAGCGCGCGAAGGACGCGGTCGACGAAGGGGCACGCGCGGGACGGGAGACCTCAATCCTTGAGGCGTGTAGAATGGCGGGAGGCCACGCGCGCGGTATGGCGGTCCAAGACAGAGGCGCGCGCAATGCGCGCGAGGGAGCGGAACGCGCGAGATAGGTCGGCGCGCACCTAGTCCTCACGGGCTTAGGCAAGCGCAAGGGCGGTTGGGCGGTGCGCATGAGGCGGCCGAACGCGTGAGGGAGAGAGAGAATTCCTTGGTGTGCAAACCACGTTATTTAGTTTCCATCTAGCTTTATGATTTCTAGATTGTTTAGGATTTCTAATATTTTATTGCTTTGATA